ATTTTTTTTCCGTGTATTAAACCTATTGATCATATTTTTGTAAGTATTATCACGTCATAAAAAACATACTTTTTCTCTAAATGTGAGTACTCAGTAGATTTATTATAAACGTGATTTTATTACGGTTAAGAACTTAAATAAGTTATTACAAGAACGAAGGACTCTTAATTTAAAAACAATAACGAGAGAATAAAAGGCACATAAGAATCAAATATAATAAAGTATTTTAAAATAAGAAAAATCAAAATAAATTATGAATAATATAATATTCTATAATTGATTAAAATATAACATGTTTCGGTCTCACGATTGAGCCTTCTTCAGATATGCATACAGGAGATGTTACATATTGAAAGGGAGCAGTCGAATAGATAGAAAAAATTATACATATAGTGATGATGGCCAGTGAGAAGCTTTGCTAAGAAACGGAAATCATTCGCAAACGGCTGGATGACTGGTTGTTTGATATTTTCCGGTTCTGGTAACAAGCCAAGTTAGAAATAAATTAAGAGGATAATAAAAAATTAAGCAATAGAACACTCATGAGTTGTTTTGACCAGAGTGACGATTTTACTTAATTTTTTATTATGTTCTTAATTTATTTCTAACTTGGCTTGTTACCAGAACCGGAAAATGTTAAACAACCGGTCATCCAGCCGTTTGCGAGTGATTTCCGTTTCTCAGCAAAACTTCTCACTGGCCATTATCACTATATGTATAATTTTTTCTATCTATTCGATTGCTCTCTTCCAATGTAACATCTCCTGTATGTATATCTGAAGAAGGCTCAATCGTGAGACTGAAACATGTTATATTTTAATCATTTATAGAATATTATATTATTAATAATTTCTTTTGATTTTTCTCATGTTTTGAAATACTTTATTATATTTGACTCTTATGTGTCCTTTATTTTCTTGTTAAGAATTTAAAATTAAATAAAATAATTTAAAAAATTTTTAATTTATACTTACATGTGATAGAACATACGAGGTGTGATCAAAAAGTAAGGTGACTTTTTGAATTTCACGCGCTCTGTACACTCTAATTTCAAAATTTTTTTTTTGTTGTGTTGGTACACTCGTCACGATCATATGTTCACAGTTTTGACTATATAGCATGTGTTGTTTTTATGTGAGAGGCATAAAGGTTAGACTCGTGTTTGCGTGCTCAGCGATTTTTTGCTATTGAAAATAATGGAGCAGAGAGTTTGTATTAATTTTTGTGTAAAAAATTAAGTGTTCAAAAACTCTTGAAATGTTGACAGTGGCGTACGGTGAGTCAACTTTGAGCAAAAAAAATGTTTATAAATGATATAAGTTATTCCAAGAGGGCCGAGAAAATGTTAACGATGAACCTCGCTTTGGACGCCCCAACACGTTAAAAACCGACGAAAATGTTCAGGAAGTGAAAGAAATTGTGTTGAAAAATCGTCGAATCACGATTAGAGAAATAGCTGATGATCTTAACATATCATTTGGCTCATGCCAATCAATTTTAACGGATGTTTTGGGTATGACACGTGTGTCAGCGAAATTCGTTCCAAAACTGCTTAATTTTGATCAGAAGCAGCGTCGCATGAACATCGCCCAAGACATGTTGAACGACGTCAATGATGATCCTGATCTGCTCAAAAGGGTTATAACTGGTGACGAAACATGGAAAATTGAAAAGGCCCATGAAAGGACGAAGATTTGCGACGATTGAGGAGATTAAGGCTGCAGGAGGAGCTCAAGGCAATACCCAAAAGTGTATTTCAGAAGTGTTTTGACGACTGGAAAAAGCGCTGGCACAAGTGCATTGTATCAGAGGGGGATTATTTTGAAGGGGATAACATAATTTTGGATGAATAAATGAATATTTTTTTATAAAAATGCAAAGTCACCTTACTTTTTGATCACACCTCGTATATTATTTTTATTAATCTACATTTCTTAATTTTTATGACAATTTTTATAGTTGTGTACAATAATAAAAATTTAAGTATAAATAAACAAAATGAATAGATAATATTTTAAAAGAGAAACGCTATTATAGTACTAACGCGTTGTTTAATTATCCGCGCAATATCGGCTTAAGTGATCAAGACAAACAGGCAATACTGATAACAGAAAATACTTGAAAATGCAATATGCTATGAATAATACAATAACCTCAGCTGTTTAATCGCATTCAGCTATATATACTCGTCTCTTTTTGATCCATGTCGTTCGCGCAAACTATCATTCTTGTTATGAAACTTTCTGAATATGACATTCCGATCGTAAGAATTCGTTTGATTACAGATAGACTTCCAACTGTGCGTTTACACAACACCGGTACTTGATTTGATATATTTTCTCAATACAAGTCCTTCCTTGGATATCATGGAAAACAAAAAAAATATTCTATTAAACGAATACTTTGACACCTTATCAGTGACTATGAAACAATTGAATTGCAAAACACAGCCGCTCACCATGGAAGAACTAAAGGTTACCATAAAGCGAAAAGCTAGCTATGAAATGATAGTATTCTTCGTCATTTTACCATTTTTGCTATGCTCTAAGGCTGAGGCGAAAGATTTGGATGAGTTAAGTTCTGATGGAAATCCAGGTGTCAAAAGCGAGAATTTTAGAAAGTTAATGATAAAAAGACTACCACTGTATGACGAATGGGGTTTATTGGATCTTCTAACGTATACTTTATGCTGGCTACTTTTAAACGGGTAAAATCTGAGGTCCTTTGTATATAATATTTTATCTACCAAATTAAAAAGTAAAACACAAATGATACTGTTTCTTGTTATTTATATACAAGCTTATCTTTTTAAAAAAAGGTAAAAAAAGCGCTAAGCGTGCGTGCTTTTCGTAAACATTATTTGGGCCGGTTTCACCAACGCCAATTACCTAATTCGCCGTGGAACTGACTAATCGCGTTTGCTGTTTAGTGGAATTGACCACTTATGGTTGACACGTATGGTTGATTCGACTTAATCGGGTTGGTGAAACCAGTCCTTTGTATATAATATTAATTAACTCTCTAATGATATGTATCATTCATATAAAAGATTTGATATCAACAATTGGCGCCAAGTTAAATTCCTCAAAATTTTATGTATCGATCGTAAAAAAGATTTGATATCAACAATTGGCGCCAAGTTAAATTTCATGTAATTCGGATACCAAATTAAATAAATAATATTGACTTTAATGATATGTATCATTCCTATAAAGGGTTTGATATATCAAGTACTGGCGCCAAATCCCATTTCTTTATTTACTTAATCCAAATAATACTATCTTTAATTTTTATAAAATGAAACCTAAGTATACGTATATCTTATTGAAGGATCTTCCTATTCCAATCCAAATGGTTTAAATTCCTCTTAAATGAAATTATTATATCACAATTCATTCAAAGATATTTTCTTTTCCAACTAAAGTAGTGGTTACTTAATTCTCTTTCAAAATAATATACTTGGCGCTGCTAGATCGAGTAAGAAAAACTATAAAAGCAATTTAAAATTAGAATAGTAATTAATAAATATAAGTAATAAAAGGTAATTATAATTTAAAATTAATAATAAGAGTAATAATAAATTTAATCTTAACTTTACACTACATAAAAGTAAATTTTACTATTTATTTCTCTTTCATAACGCATGTTTACAAATCTAAATTTATTTTTCTCAGGCTTAAACTTAATAGTATTCACAACATTCATAATTTACACGACTCTATAACTCAATCGCATATATACACACACTAGATACTTTAACTCTCATTGGAAATGCTTCTTATTTTTCTTATTTTTTTAAATATTCCTATTTTTTAATATGATTCTAATTTTCCTGATTAATATGTTATTTTTCTAAATATTACATTTTTTAAGTATTACATTCTTATTTTTTTATTTTTCTTATTTTTCAAATATTACATTCATATCTTAGTACTATGATATTATTAGGTGTTAAACTTAATTCATGCCGTTTTTCGTCTCCAAAATTGATTTGTTTCGAAGGGAAATACCTTAATCAAAGTATTATTAATAAAGTATTATTAATTAGTAATAAAGCAGAAAATGAAGGAAATTACTTTGATTAAGGTATT